AATTAAAAGTTCCGTACAATGAGGTCTTGACGACGGACGTCTTAACGTTGTCTTAACCATTCATAGTCCGTGCGGTTCACGAAAAAACGTAGCAAATTGGGTTAAAAGCATGAAACTGTCTAAAAAACAACCCTGCCATTTTTAGACTATTTTGAGAGATTTGACCCGCAGCACCTAAAATTTCACCTCTTAGGAGGGTGGTTTAACCCCTATTTTATTTTCTAAGGGTAAAAATTATTAAAAATGTCTATGTCCTCATATTATTTCAATATTGGTGTCATTTTAGACTAATTCGAATGTGAGAAATTAAAAAAAAAATCTCATCTTCATAGGACCCAACGTTAGGGCTCTATTGCTGTCATATTTGACATAAGTAACCAAAATATCGTTTTTTTACATTCAGACCTATTTGGAAAAAATGTATGGCGATTTATATAGAATTTGGCATGAGAAACCCGCAGCACCTCAAATTCCACCTCTCGGGAGGGTTGTTCAACCCCTATTCGATTTTTAAAGGGTTAAAATTATTGAAAATGTCTATGTCATCATATTATTCCATCATTTTAGACTAATTCGAATATAAGGACTTTGAAAAAATATATTGTAGAATTATCCATTGTTGATAAATTATTGAAATTTGTTCTTTTCTTTGAACTCTTGTTCTAATCTCGGAATTTTGCGTCTAATCTTCATAGGACTCAATTGTAGGGCTCTATTGCTGTCATATTTGACATAAATGTCAACAATATCTTTTTTTTCACATTCATACCTATCTGGAAAAAATATATTACGATTTATACAGGGTGTTTCACGAACATCGAAACAGAGGCGTTTTGGGGTATTTCAAAGTCGATTTAAAAAAAACGCTCGGATACGTCAATTTTCTATTCACGGGGGAAACTTTTTGACCGCATGGGTATTTTGCTAGGGTGCACCCCCTGGGTGGGGTGACTTTCACCCCCCTTTTTTTAGATAGGAAAGATGGATCGAATGGTAGCTTGTTTCAAAGGTATTTTGATTCTCGTCACAACAGTGTTATTTTTTTGAAAATCGAATGATTAGTTCTCAATATATTAACTGTCAAAGTTGCCATAGGCTAAATAAGAAACAATCTTCTGGCCCTGTAATTCTCAAATTAACAGTTTCCTGACTTTCCTTTCGGACACGGCAATTTTATTTTTTTCGGAAGAACACAAAAAAAGAAAATTGACGTGTCCGAGAAATGGACGACATGGTATATTCTTGACCTCAGCAAATCAGCTGAAAGCTGCCACCACTCGTGTTCGATAGTTTTTAGTGTCCCTATGAACATACTAAAAGTCCCCGTCGCTGTGATTGGTGGAACATTCCCAAATCCAGTCCGCCATCTTGATTTTTTGTCCTTTTCCTAAATTTTTACAAATATCTCGAATACTGTAAGGTTTATCAAAAAATGTCCAGAGGCTAAAAAGTTTCTAAATATGTTTTTTTCTGTAAGAGCGATAAAATATAACAACATTCTAGAACTGTGATAGTATCTGCAGACCTCCAAATATTGAAAATACTACTAAAATACTAAAAGGAGAACGTTGGCCAACACACGGACTTGATGGTATTACTGCTCTATTTTGTTAAACATATCAACGTTTCTATGTTACGGCCTGGAAACCAAAGTCAAGGAATCAAAATTACGGAAATTTCACTTTTACAAGAAGCTTTGAAGTTGCTACTTTTCCACCTACATCAGATGCAGCCAAATATCACTGCTTAAGAGTGTATTACCAAATACAACAATGGTTAGGAAATAATCTTAATCCTCCAGAATTTGGTTGGGAAAGATCCAGCGAAAAACTTAGACCTAAAACAATGGATTGGCCTGTTGCTCCCGAATTTATACTAAAGATAATCTATTGCAACTGTAAGAGTGGGTGCAAAAAATCTTTTGCTTAAATTTGTGTGGTCAATGTAATGGAATCTCCTGTTGAAATATTCCTAGTTATTATTCTTGATGAAACGAATGATTCTGATTTAGAAGTATAAAAACTGCTGATGATGTATGATAAGTGAGATGATTCTTGGGTTTTAGTCTTGGCATAAATAATACTAGTTTTTCACAAAAGCCGAGCTTTCGGAAATTTTATTGTTTCCTTTATCAAGGGTGCAAAGTTAGTTAAATTATTGTAGAATTAGCCATTGTTGAAAAATTATTGAAATTTGTTCTTTTCTTTGAACTCTTGCTCTTATCTTGGAATTTTGCGTCTAATAATTTTGAAAAGTGAATTGAAATTTTTGAAAAAAAAAAATAAAATTCAATTCACTTTTCAAAATTATTAGACGCAAAATTCCAAGATTAGAGTAAGAGTTCAAAGAAAAGAACAAATTACAATAATTTTTCAACAATGGCTAATTCTACAATAATTTAACTAACTTTGCACCCTTGATAAAGGAAACAATAAAATTTCCGAAAGCTCGGCGTTTGTGGAAAACTAGTTTTATTTATGCCAAGACTGCATCCCAAGAATCATCTCAATATCTATAATGATGTATCTATAGATATCTACACTTTTTTTTTTGTTCAACTAACTGACCAGCTTTCCTCCTTATTTAGTTTTAGTTTATTACTGATTTATTGTTAACGATATAAAGTTTGCCGAAATTTCCCATATCGATTCTCATAATTCATAATTTATTCTACATAGATACTGTCATTTCTATCTTTTTTTTCCGATTTTTTTTTTCAATTTTTTTTTTTTCCATTACTTTTTTATTTTTATTTTTTTGCTTGCATAATTATTTCCTTATTTTATCATTTGATTTTTTTTCGTATATTTTTTTTCTCCTTTTCTTCTTAGATTATTTTTTGTAATACCGGGTGCCCACGAGATCACTTTCCGGCTGCCATTTTTTTATTTATCTGTCGATATCAACGAAACTTGGTATGGTTGATATTCTGACCAAACGCCATTTTCATGCATTTATGACAAGTTTTCCTGACTTCCGGTTTCACCGGAAATGACCGGAACTTTTGATTTTTAAATGGCACACCCTGTATATTTTTTGTTTTTCGGATTCTACAGATCGTTTTACGTCTTAATGCACCACTTTTGAATGAAATTTTTTCTAAATTTTGTATTTTAATTAAAGTTAAATTTTTTTTACAGGAGAATTCAACAGCACTGCACCTATACTATGCCGAGGGCCGTCGAGTAGTTGGAAAGGCTAGATACTAGCTAATCCCTAGCTATTATACCACCACCTCATATCGTCAAAAAAGTGCTTATGTAGCAGGGCATTCCCCGTAGAATAAGTTGGATTTAAAGAAGGTGCATGAAGTGGGGTAAGACATACTTTCTTCTATCTATCGAGTAACAAATCATTTTGGAATTTAATTTCTTCTATGTTCTCCAAGAAGTTAGGATCTGTAAGTTTCGTCAGTAGAAATCTTCGAAAAAACGAGGGATAATTGTCCATATTGTCGAAATAATCACGTCTTTCGTAGACTGTAGACTCTGCGGACTACGAGAAAACCTAAAGTTTATGATATCGCCTCTGTAGAGCAAAAACGGGCCAAGCGGCAATTAAACCATTTTTGAGTTAACCGCCATAACATATTCATACCCCAATTTACGTTGTGTAAAAAACCGGTGTGAAGTTAGCAGCCTTTTTGCAGCAGCCAAAAATGTGAAGTTAGCAGCCATTTGTAGCAGCCCAAATTGTGAAGTTAGCAGCCATTTTTTGGCAGCTCTTTTTTAAAAAAAAAAATGGTTGATTTACAAATTTTGTGTACATTATTATTATATACCCTCGTGCAAAATACAACAGAAAAACAGAAAAACAAAAAAAACTACGCCTAATAAAACATCAAGTAGCACATTAACATCTACAAAACAACTTTTTTAAAATAAAATGTGACACCATGAAAATTAGAATAGTCTTTAACATGGCCCTCAAGTACGTCTAGTTCGAAGAACAACCCCTTATTGCCGTCAGGCTGGGATCAACCCTTATTATTAAAATAATTGGAAAAACACATTTCTGAAAACTGTAACGCTCTGAAACTTGCTTAAGACGATAACTAGAACCATTTCAAATATTCCCTCAAAAGGACAACCCCTTACCTGCCATCGGAGTATGTTAAAAACTACCCTTAGTACGAAAATAATAGAAAAAAACTTAGAAAAGCACATTTCGGAAAACTGTAACGCTCTGAAACTTGATTGGGACGATAACTGGAACTAAGGTATTATAAATAAGGAGAGATTACCAATAAACTTTTGAAATAATACTAGGGTTGACAAACTATCGAAAAAAAAACTATCGATAGTGATATCGATAGAATGGCTTATCTATCGATAGTAACTATCGATTGTACTATCGATAGTTTGCCCTGACCAAAGTAACCAAATTTCTAATTAATTACGAAATAAATTTATCAAATGACAACAATAACATCATAACCTTAAATAAACATTAACCTCCAACCCCTATCAAGTCCATGAAAGTCACTCGTCACATTGCTCGCCATTCCTGTTAACCTAAAAATTAAAAATTGGCAGCACAGCATGTCTTCCCCCAAAAAATAATTACAGATTTCTCAAAACAGCTACAGATTTCTTTATATTCACTAGCTATTGATTGAGAAAACGGCCCTCAAGAGTTTGGAACACTCGAGCTACTCGCTCCGGTGTTAGTCGACCCCGATTTGAAAGGAAGAAATACGTGGTGCAACATTTTTCGAAAGGAATAAGCGCATAACGCTACGGAGCTATTCCAGAGTTCCTCCTAGGTGTGAAAGGAATACAATTATTGCAACTGGGCTCGCTTACCCTGAAGTTAAAACCAACTCGGAGGTGACTCGCTATTGAGAAACCGGCCATTTGGAACTATCGATAGTGGTACAGGTCTATCGATACTATCGAAAATGAAAAAAATATCGATAGTATCGATATTCCTATCGATAGTTTGTTATCCCTAAGTACGTCTAATTCGAAGAACAACACCTTATAGCCGTCAGGCTGGGATCAACCCTTATTATTAAAATAATTCGAAAAGCACATTTCGGAGAAATGTAACACCATCAAACTCAGTGGGACGATCATCAGAACCATTTCTAACATTCCCATCAAAGGACAACCCCTTACATGCCGTCGGAGTGTGTTAAAAACTACCCTTAGTACGAAAATATTGTAAAAAAAATGGAAAAACACATTTCCGAAAACTGTAACGCTCTGAAACTTGATTAAAACGATAACTAGAACCATTTTAAACATTCCCTCCAGAGGACAACCCCTTACCTGCCGTCGGAGTGTGTTAAAAACTACCCTTAGTACGAAAATAATGGAAAAAAATTGGAAAAACACATTTCCCAAAACTGTAACGCTCTGAAACTTGATTCAGACGGTAACTAGGACCATTTCAAACATTCCCTCCAAAGGACAACCCCTTACCTGCCGTCGGAGTGTGTTAAAAACTACCCTTAGTACAAAAATATTGGAAAAAAAATGGAAAAACACATTTCCGAAAACTGTACGCTCTGAAACTTGATTAAAACGATAACTAGAACCATTTTAAACATTCCCTCCAGAGGACAACCCCTTACCTGCCGTCGGAGTGTGTTAAAAACTACCCTTAGTACGAAAATAATGGAAAAAAATTGGAAAAACACATTTCCCAAAACTGTAACGCTCTGAAACTTGATTCAGACGATAACTAGGACCATTTCAAACATTCCCTCCAAAGGACAACCCCTTACCTGCCGTCGGAGTGTGTTAAAAACTACCCTTAGTACGAAAATAATAGAAAAAAATTGGAAAAACACATTTCCGAAAACTGTAACGCTCTGAAACTTGATTCAAACGATAACTAGAACCATTTTAAACATTCCCTCCAGAGGACAACCCCCTTACCAGCCGTCGGAGTGTGTTAAAAACTACCCTTAGTACGAAAATAATGGAAAAAAATTGGAAAAACACATTTCCCAAAACTGTAACGCTCTGAAACTTGATTCAGACGGTAACTAGGACCATTTCAAACATTCCCTCCAAAGGACAACCCTTACCTGCCGTCGGAGTGTGTTAAAAACTACCCTTAGTACAAAAATATTGGAAAAAAAATGGAAAAACACATTTCCGAAAACTGTAACGCTCTGAAACTTGATTAAAACGATAACTAGAACCATTTTAAACATTCCCTCCAGAGGACAACCCCTTACCTGCCGTCGGAGTGTGTTAAAAACTACCCTTAGTACGAAAATAATGGAAAAAAATTGGAAAAAACACATTTCCCAAAACTGTAACGCTCTGAAACTTGATTCAGACGATAACTAGGACCATTTCAAACATTCCCTCCAGAGGACGACCCCTTACCTGCCGTCGGAGTGTGTTAAAAACTACCCTTAGTACGAAAATAATGGAAAAAAATTGGAAAAACACATTTCCCAAAACTGTAACGCTCTGAAACTTGATTCAGACGGTAACTAGGACCATTTCAAACATTCCCTCCAAAGGACAACCCCTTACCTGCCGTCGGAGTGTGTTAAAAACTACCCTTAGTACAAAAATATTGGAAAAAAAATGGAAAAACACATTTCCGAAAACTGTAACGCTCTGAAACTTGATTAAAACGATAACTAGAACCATTTTAAACATTCCCTCCAGAGGACAACCCCTTACCTGCCGTCGGAGTGTGTTAAAAACTACCCTTAGTACGAAAATAATGGAAAAAAATTGGAAAAACACATTTCCCAAAACTGTAACGCTCTGAAACTTGATTCAGACGATAACTAGGACCATTTCAAACATTCCCTCCAAAGGACAACCCCTTACCTGCCGTCGGAGTGTGTTAAAAACTACCCTTAGTACGAAAATAATAGAAAAAAATTGGAAAAACACATTTCCGAAAACTGTAACGCTCTGAAACTTGATTCAAACGATAACTAGAACCATTTTAAACATTCCCTCCAGAGGACAACCCCTTACCAGCCGTCGGAGTGTGTTAAAAACTACCCTTAGTACGAAAATAATGGAAAAAAATTGGAAAAACACATTTCCCAAAACTGTAACGCTCTGAAACTTGATTCAGACGGTAACTAGGACCATTTCAAACATTCCCTCCAAAGGACAACCCCTTACCTGCCGTCGGAGTGTGTTAAAAACTACCCTTAGTACAAAAATATTGGAAAAAAAATGGAAAAACACATTTCCGAAAACTGTAACGCTCTGAAACTTGATTAAAAACGATAACTAGAACCATTTTAAACATTCCCTCCAGAGGACAACCCCTTACCTGCCGTCGGAGTGTGTTAAAAACTACCCTTAGTACGAAAATAATGGAAAAAAATTGGAAAAACACATTTCCCAAAACTGTAACGCTCTGAAAACTTGATTCAGACGATAACTAGGACCATTTCAAACATTCCCTCCAGAGGACGACCCCTTACCTGCCGTCGGAGTGTGTTAAAAACTACCCTTAGTACGAAAATAATGGAAAAAAATTGGAAAAACACATTTCCCAAAACTGTAACGCTCTGAACTTGATTCAGACGGTAACTAGGACCATTTCAAACATTCCCTCCAAAGGACAACCCCTTACCTGCCGTCGGAGTGTGTTAAAAACTACCCTTAGTACAAAAATATTGGAAAAAAAATGGAAAACACATTTCCGAAAACTGTAACGCTCTGAAACTTGATTAAAACGATAACTAGAACCATTTTAAACATTCCTCCAGAGGACAACCCCTTACCTGCCGTCGGAGTGTGTTAAAAACTACCCTTAGTACGAAAATAATGGAAAAAAATGGAAAAACACATTTCCCAAAACTGTAACGCTCTGAAACTTGATTCAGACGATAACTAGGACCATTTCAAACATTCCCTCCAAAGGACAACCCCTTACCTGCCGTCGGAGTGTGTTAAAAACTACCCTTAGTACGAAAATAATAGAAAAAAATTGGAAAAACACATTTCCGAAAACTGTAACGCTCTGAAACTTGATTCAAACGATAACTAGAACCATTTTAAACATTCCCTCCAGAGGACAACCCCTTACCAGCCGTCGGAGTGTGTTAAAAACTACCCTTAGTACGAAAATAATGGAAAAAAATTGGAAAAACACTTTCCCAAAACTGTAACGCTCTGAAACTTGATTCAGACGGTAACTAGGACCATTTCAAACATTCCCTCCAAAGGACAACCCCTACCTGCCGTCGGAGTGTGTTAAAAACTACCCTTAGTACAAAAATATTGGAAAAAAAATGGAAAAACACATTTCCGAAAACTGTAACGCTCTGAAACTTGATTAAAACGATAACTAGAACCATTTTAAACATTCCCTCCAGAGGACAACCCCTTACCTGCCGTCGGAGTGTGTTAAAAACTACCCTTAGTACGAAAATAATGGAAAAAAATTGGAAAAACACATTTCCCAAAACTGTAACGCTCTGAAACTTGATTCAGACGATAACTAGGACCATTTCAAACATTCCCTCCAGAGGACGACCCCTTACCTGCCGTCGGAGTGTGTTAAAAAACTACCTTAGTACGAAAATAATGGAAAAAAATTGGAAAAACACATTTCCCAAAACTGTAACGCTCTGAAACTTGATTCAGACGGTAACTAGGACCATTTCAAACATTCCCTCCAAAGGACAACCCCTTACCTGCCGTCGGAGTGTGTTAAAAACTACCCTTAGTACAAAAATATTGGAAAAAAAATGGAAAAAACACATTTCCGAAAACTGTAACGCTCTGAAACTTGATTTAAAACGATAACTAGAACCATTTTAAACATTCCCTCCAGAGGACAACCCCTTACCTGCCGTCGGAGTGTGTTAAAAACTACCCTTAGTACGAAAATAATGGAAAAAAATTGGAAAAACACATTTCCCAAAACTGTAACGCTCTGAAACTTGATTCAGACGATAACTAGGACCATTTCAAACATTCCCTTCAAAGGACAACCCCTTACCTGCCGTCGGAGTGTGTTAAAAACTACCCTTAGTACGAAAATAATAGAAAACAAATTGGAAAAACACATTTCCGAAAACTGTAACGCTCTGAAACTGGATTCAAAACGATAACTAGAACCATTTCAAACATTCCCTCCAAAGGATCACCCCTTACCTGCCGTCGGAGTGTGTTAAAAACTACCCTTAGTACGAAAATAATGGAAAAAAAATGGAAAAACACATTTCCGAAAACTGTAACGCTCTGAAACTTGATTAAAACGATAACTAGAACCATTTTAAACATTCCCTCCAGAGGACAACCCCTTACCTGCCGTCGGAGTGTGTTAAAAACTACCCTTAGTACGAAAATAATAGAAAAAAATTGGAAAAAACACATTTCGGAAAACTGTAACGCTCTGAAACTTAATTGGGACGATAACTAGAACCATTTCAAACATTCTTTCCCCAAAGGACAACCCCTTACCTGCTGTCGGAGTGTGTTAAAAACTACCCTTAGTACGAAAATAATGGAAAAAAATTGGAAAAACACATCTCCCAAAACTGTAACGCTCTGAAACTTGATTCAGACGATAACTAGGACCATTTCAAACATTCCCTCCAAAGGACAACCCTTACCTGCCGTCGGAGTGTGTTAAAAACTACCCTTAGTACGAAAATATTGGAAAAAAATGGAAAAAACACATTTCCGAAACTGTAACGCTCTGAAACTTGATTAAAACGATAACTAGAACCATTTTAAACATTCCCCCCAGAGGAAAACCCCTTACCTGCCGTCGGAGTGTGTTAAAAACTACCCTTAGTACGAAAATAATGGAAAAAAATTGGAAAAAACACATTTCCCAAAACTGTAACGCTCTGAAACTTGATTCAGACGATAACTAGGACCATTTCAATATTCCCTCCAAAGGACAACCCCTTACCTGCCGTCGGAGTGTGTTAAAAACTACCCTTAGTACGAAAATAATAGAAAAAAATTGGAAAAACACTTTTCCGAAAACTGTGATGCTCTGAAACTTGATTCAGACGATAACTAGAACCATTTCAAACATTCCCTCCAAAGGATCACCCCTTACCTACCGTCGGAGTGTGTTAAAAACTACCCTTAGTACGAAAATAATGGAAAAAAATTGGAAAAACACATTTCCCAAAACTGTAACGCTCTGAAACTTGATTCAGACGGTAACTAGGACCATTTCAAACATTCCCTCCAAAGGACAACCCCTTACCTGCCGTCGGAGTGTGTTAAAAACTACCCTTAGTACAAAAATATTGAAAAAAAATGGAAAAACACATTTCCGAAAACTGTAACGCTCTGAAACTTGATTAAAACGATAACTAGAACCATTTTAAACATTCCCTCCAGAGGACAACCCCTTACCTGCCGTCGGAGTGTGTTAAAAACTACCCTTAGTACGAAAATAATGGAAAAAAATTGGAAAAACACATTTCCCAAAACTGTAACGCTCTGAAACTTGATTCAGACGATAACTAGGACCATTTCAAACATTCCCTCCCAAAGGACAACCCCTTACCTGCCGTCGGAGTGTGTTAAAAACTACCCTTAGTACGAAAATAATAGAAAAAAATTGGAAAAACACATTTCCGAAAACTGTAACGCTCTGAAACTTGATTCAAACCGATAACTAGAACCATTTCAAACATTCCCTCCAAAGGATCACCCCTTACCTGCCGTCGGAGTGTGTTAAAAACTACCCTTAGTACGAAAATAAAGGAAAAAAAATGGAAAAACACATTTCCGAAAACTGTAACGCTCTGAAACTTGATTAAAACGATAACTAGAACCATTTTAAACATTCCCTCCAGAGGACAACCCCTTACCTGTTGTCGGAGTGTGTTAAAAACTACCCTTAGTACGAAAATAATAGAAAAAAATTGGAAAAACACATTTCGGAAAACTGTAACGCTCTGAAACTTAATTGGGACGATAACTAGAACCATTTCAAACATTCTTTCCAAAGGACAACCCCTTACCTGCTGTCGGAGTGTGTTAAAAACTACCCTTAGTACGAAAATAATGGAACAAAATTGGAAAAACACATCTCCCAAAACTGTAACGTTCTGAAACTTGATTCAGACGATAACTAGGACCATTTCAAACATTACCTCCAAAGGACAACCCTTACCTGCCGTCGGAGTGTGTTAAAAACTACCCTTAGTACGAAAATATTGGAAAAAAAATGGGAAAAACACATTTCCGAAAACTGTAACGCTCTGAAACTTGATTAAAACGATAACTAGAACCCATTTTAAAACATTCCCCCAGAGGAAAACCCCTTACCTGCCGTCGGAGTGTGTTAAAAACTACCCTTAGTACGAAAATAATGGAAAAAATTGAGGAAAAACACAATTTCCCAAAACTGTAGTGCTCTGAAACTTGATTCAGACGATAACTAGGACCATTTCAACATTCCCTCCAAAGGACAACCCCTTACCTGCCGTCGGGAGTGTGTTAAAAACTACCCTTAGTACGAAAATAATAGAAAAAAATGGGAAAAACACTTTTCCGAAAACTGTACACGCTCTGAAACTTGATTCAGACGATAACTAGAACCATTTCAAACATTCCCTCGAAAGGATCACCCCTTACCTGCCGTTGGAGTGTGTTAAAAACTACCCTTAGTACGAAAATAATATAAAAAAATTGGAAAAAAACACATTTCCGAAAACTGTAACGCTCTGAAACTTGATTAAGACGATAACTAGAACCATTTCAAACATTCCCTCAAAAGGACAACCCCTTACCTGCCCTCGGAGTGTGTTAAAAACTACCCTTCGTACGAAAATAATAGAAAAAAATTGGAAAAACACTTTTCCGAAAACTGTAACGGTCTGAAACTTGAATCAGACGATAACTAGAACCATTTCAAACATTCCCTCCAAAGGATCACCCCTTACCTGCCGTCGGAGTGTGTTAAAAAACTACCCTTAGTACGAAAATAATAGAAAAAAATTGGAAAAACACATTTCCGAAAACTGTAACGCTCTGAAACTTGATTAAGACGACTAACTAGAACCATTTCAAACATTCCCTCAAAAGGACAACCCCTTACCTGCCGTCGGAGTGTGTTAAAAACTACCCTTAGTACGAAAATAATGGAAAAAATTGGAAAAACACATTTCGGAAAACTGTAACGCTCTAAAACTTGATTAAGACGATAACTAGAACCATTTCAAACATTCCCTCCAAAGGACAACCCCTAACCTGTCGTCGGAGTGTGTTAAAAACTACCCTTAGTACGAAAATAATGGAAAAAAATTGGAAAAACAGCTTTCCGAAAACTGTAACGCTCTGAAACTTGATTCAGACGATAACTAGGACCATTTCAAATATTCCCTCCAAAGGACAACCTCTTACCTGCCGTCGGAGTGTGTTAAAAACTACCCTTAGTACGAAAATAATAGAAAAAAATTGGAAAAACACTTTTCCGAAAACTGTGATGCTCTGAAACTTGATTCAGACGATAACTAGAACCATTTCAAACATTCCCTCCAAAGGATCACCCCTTACCTGCCGTCGGAGTGTGTTAAAAACTACCCTTAGTACGAAAATAATGGGAAAAAAAATGGAAAAAACACATTTCCGAAAACTGTAACGCTCTGAAACTTGATTCAGACGATAACTAGAACATTTCAAATATTCCTTCCAAAGGATCACCCTTTACCTGCCGTCGGAGTGTGTTAAAAACTACCCTTAGTACGAAAATAATAGAAAAAAATTGGAAAAACACATTTCGGAAAACTGTAACGCTCTGAAACTTAATTGGGACGATAACTAGAACCATTTCAAACATTCTTTCCAAAGGACAACCCCTTACCTGCCGTCGGAGTGTGTTAAAAACTACCCTTATTACGAAAATAATAGAAAAAAATTAAAAAAACATATTTCCGAAAACTGTAACGCTCTGAAACTTGATTCAGACGATAACTAGAACCATTTCAAACATTCCCTCCAAAGGATCACCCCTTACCTGCCGTCGGAGTGTGTTAAAAACTACCCTTAGTACGAAAATAATGGAAAAAAAAATGGAAAAAAACATTTCCGAAAACTGTAACGCTCTGAAACTTGATTCAGACGATAACTAGAACCATTTCAAACATTCCCTCCAAAGGATCACCCCTTACCTGCCGTCGGAGTGTGTTAAAAAACTACCCTTAGTACGAAAATAATAGAAAAAAATTGGAAAAACACATTTCCGAAAACTGTAACGCTCTGAAACTTGATTCAGACGATAACTAGAACCATTTCAAACATTCCCTCCAAAGGATCACCCCCTTACCTGCCGTCGGAGTGTGTTAAAAACTACCCTTAGTACGAAAATAATAGAAAAAAATTGGAAAAACACATTTTCGAAAACTGTAACGCTCTGAAACTTGATTAACACGATAACTAGAACCATTTCAAACATTCCCTCAAAAGGACAACCCCTTACCTGCCGTCGGAGTGTTAAAAACTACCCTTAGTACGAAAATAATAGAAAAAAATTGGAAAAACACATTTCCGAAAACTGTAACGCTCTGAAACTTGATTCAGACGATAACTAGAACCATTTCAAACATTCCCTCCAAAGGATCACCCCTTACCTGCCGTCGGAGTGTGTTAAAAACTACCCTTAGTACGAAAATAATAGAAAAAAATTGGAAAAACACATTTCCGAAACTGTAACGCTCTGAAACTTGATTCAGACGATAACTAGAAACATTTCAACATTCCCTCCAAAGGACAACCCCTTACCTGCCGTCAGAGTGTGTTAAAAACTACCCTTAGTACGAAAATAATAGAAAAAAAATGGAAAAACACATTTCCGAAAACTGTAACGCTCTGAAACTAGATTGGGACGATAACTAGAACCATTTCAAACATTCCCTCCAAAGAAAACCCACCCCTTACCTGCTGTCGGAGTGTAATAAAAACTATCCTTAGTACGAAAATAATAGAAAAAAATTGGAAAAGCACGTTTCGGAAAACTGTAACGCTCTGAAACTTGATTGGCACGATAACTAGAACCATTTCAAACATTCCCTCCAAAGAAAACCCCCTACCTGCTGTCGGAGTGTGTTAAAAACTATCCTTAGTACGAAAATAATAGAAAAAAAATTGGAAAAGCACATTTTGGAAACTGTAACGTTCTGAAACTTGACTGAAACGATAACTAGAGCAATTTCAAACATTCCCACCAAAGGACAACCCCTTACCTGCCGTCAGAGTGTGTTAAAAACTACCCTTAGTATGAAAATAATTGAAAAAACGGGGGGGGGGGGGGGGGGTTTAGCGTCAAGTTGGCCTAGCTATAGCATTTTTTGAGAAAAACGAGGGTTAAACGAAAAACTGAAAGTTGTAGGTATTGATTTTTGCTTTTGTTCGATAAAATAATCGAAAAAACTGGTGGGCTAAGCGTCAATTTGGCCCTTCTCAAAATTTTGTGGATAGCATTGAGTGCAACTCAACAGAGTTCCTGATATCAGTAGCACAGTAGAGCACACTGGGAGCACAGTTAATTAGCACGAAAAAAAAAAATAGAAAAATTAAATAGGCGGAGCTAACTTGACGGAGCTTAATATTTTTATGTTTTGTCGAATGCTGTTGCTGTTAATATTGGGACCATCCAAGTTCAAGGTTCATAGTTTTTCAGCCAATAAAATATTGAGACTTTATTGATTTTCTAATATTTCTTCATTGCAATGCTGTTAACTTCAGTTTTGATTATAGCATAATGTCGTATAACTTGATGTTTTTGTTTCGAGAAATCATATTTCACCCTACTTGGCTGAGTCCGGGTGGCTTAATATGTTCAATCGTTTTAAGTTGCACCGGGGTAAATTTTATTATCAATAATTAAAAATAAATCCCCTCAATATCTGTACAGAAGAATTACATTTCGCACTGATGTGCACAACTTGAATTTAAGAAGAAGAAATGTGATCCGAATACTGCAGTACCGAAAAGAACAATACAAACGTTCATTTTCTTATAATATAGCTACTTTGATAAACTCGCGGGACTTTGTTGATTGGCGCTGGTCGTCATTTACTTTTGGAAAGCATTTTAAATCATGTTTGCTTCTAAATCAGTGATGTCTCCCTCTCTGGTGGAAAGTTAACCATGTTTTAGTTTTTTCCTTATCCTTTTCCCATTGTCATTCTAATTCTCTCCTTTTCCTCTTTATGTTTACTTATGTATTTACTATTCCTTAATTTTTTTCATATAAGATGTAAATCGAACGCACAAAATTGTCTTCTATTTCTTTTCTTTGGTTCAAAATTATTTATCTAAAATAGGGCCTGAACAGTATCTGAATCTGAGATCTGAATCATTCATATGTCTGCGTTTTTTTCTAGTGCCCATTGTCAACCATGTGTATATTTTGATATTATTATGTAAAAACTGATTGTAAATTTTTGTTTCTACTCGCATTACTTTGCGCACATCATTTGCGTGCGCAAAATTGAACTTTGCGCACGGAAACTCTTTGCGCACTGATTTTTGTTACACATAGTTACCGCATTTATACTCGATTTTCCAATGTTTTGTGGGTTTCTGGATAAACTTGTATCTGAAAAGACGGGTCTGATGCTATTTTTGTTCCAAAAAGGGCATGTTTTGTTTTTTTAATTTGACACTTTCCATATGAGGAGCGAGAGGACCAAAAACAGATGTGAAGTCAGGTGACCATTGGCATGGGGGGCCACCAACTCACATTCCTTTGGAGCATCAGATTATAAAAGTTGGACTGTAAGTTATACTCCTTCATACCAAAATTTGGCAGAAAAAAACAACTTGTTGACTTGTTCAAATTTTAAGTAAACCTCGCTAGCACAACCAATGTTGCAAATAAAATCAAGCTGATCACTGAAAAAAAAAATGAAAACACAACACATTGAACTAGGAGAGAAAAACTACCAGTTTTTAGCATCTGAAAACATTTAAGAAGATTAGGTACAGCTCCTCTGGATTTTATGCAAATCTTCAAACTCTCATAGAAAAAGTATTGTTCCTAATACTTGCGCAAAGTGTCTTTCCCCGCACTCAAAGCTTATCCGAACTCCGCTTCGCGTCGTTCGTCTAACTGCTTTTTCATGCGGGAAAGTATCACTTTGCGCACTTGTTAGGAAAATAACTATTTTTTTTGGTTTTGACAATAAAAGTATTAATATTATTATTTTCGTACTAAGGGTAGTTTTTACCACACTCCGACGACAGGTAAGGGGTTGTCCTTTTCAGGGAATGTTTGAAATGGTTCTAGCTACCATCTCAATCAAGTTTCAGAGCGTTACAGTTTCCGAAATGTGCTTTTCCATTTTTTTCTATTATTTTCGTACTAAGGGTAGTTTTTAACACACTCCGACGGCAGGTAAGGGGTTGTCCTTTGGTGGGAATGTTTGAAATGTTTCTAGTTATCGTCTGAATCAAAGTATCAGAGCGTTACAGTTTTCGAAAATGTGTTTTTCCCATTTTTTTCTATTATTTTCGTACTAAGGGTAGTTTTTAACACACTCCGACGGCAGGTAAGGGGTTGTCCTTTGGAGGAAATGTTTGAAATGGTTCCAGTTATCGTCCCAATCAAGTTTCAGAGCGTTACAGTTTTCCGAAATGTGCTTTTCCAATTTTTTTCTATTATTTCCGTACTAAGGGTGGTTTTTAACACACTCCGACGGCAGGTAAGGGGTTGTACTTTGAAGGGAATGTTTAAAATGGTTCTAGCTACCGTCTCAATCAAGTTTCAGAGCGTTACAGTTTTCCGCAATGTGCTTTTCCAATTTTTTTCTATTATTTTCGTACTAAGGGTAGTTTTTAACACACTCTGGCGGCAGGTAAGGGGTTGTTCTTTGTAGGGAATGTTTGAAATGGTTCTAGCTATCGTCCCAATCAAGTTTTAGAGCGTTACAGTTTTCCGAAATGTGCTTTTCCAATTTTTTTCTAATATTTTCGTACTAAGGGTGGTTTTTAACACACTCCGACGGCAGGTAAGGGGTTGTCCTTTGGAGGGAATGTTTGAAATGGGTCTAGCTACCGTCTCAATCAAGTTTCAGAGCGTTACAGTTTTCCGAAATGTGCTTTTCCAATTTTTTTCTATTATTTTCGTACTAAGGGTAGTTTTTAACACACTCCGACGGCAGGTAAGGGGTTGTCCTTTGGAGGAAATGTTTGAAATGGTTCTAGCTACCATCTCTATCAAGTTTCAGAGCGTAACAGTTTTCCGAAATGTGCTTTTCCAATTTTTTTCTATTATTTTCGTACTAAGGGTAGTTTTTAACACACTCCGACGGCAGGTAAGGGGTTGTCCTTTGGAGGAAATGTTTGAAATGGTTCCAGTTATCGTCCCAATCAAGTTTCAGAGCGTTACAGTTTTCCGAAATGTGCTTTTCTAATTTTTTTCTATTATTTTCGTACTAAGGGTGGTTTTTAACACACTCCGACGGCAGGTAAGGGGTTGTCCTTTTGAGGGAATGTTTGAAATGGTTCTAGTTATCGTCTTAATCAAGTTTCAGAGAGTTACAATTTTCCGAAATGTGCTTTCCCAATTTTTTTCTATTATTTTCGTACTAAGGGTGGTTTTTAACACACTCCGACGGCAGGTAAAAGGTTCTCCTTTGGAGGGAATGTTTGAAATGGTTCTAGCTACCGTCTCAATCAAGTTTCAGAGCGTTACAGTTTTCAGAAATGTGCTTTTCCAATTTTTTTCTATTATTTTCGTACTAAGGGTAGTTTTTAACACACTCCGACGGCAGGTAAGGGGTTGTCCTTTTGAGGGAATGTTTGAAATGGTTCTAGTTATCGTCTTAATCAAGTTTCAGAGCGTTACAATTTTCCGAAATGTGCTTTTCCAATTTTTTTCTATTATTTTCGTACTAAGGGTGGTTTTTAACACACTCCGACGGCAGGTAAAAGGTTGTCCTTTGGAGGGAATGTTTGAAATGGTTCTAGTTATCGTCTTAATCAAGTTTCAGAGCGTTACAGTTTTCAGAAATGTGCTTTTCCAATTTTTTTCTATTATGTTCGTACTAAGGGTAGTTTTTAACACACTCCGACGGCACGTAAGGGTATGTTTTTGGAGGGAATGTTTGAAATGGTTCTAGCTACCATCTCAATCAAGTTTCAGAGCGTTACAGTTTTCCAAAATGTGCTTTTCCAATTTTTTTCTATTATTTTCGTACTAAGGGTAGTTTCTAACACACTCCGACGGCAGGTTAGGGGTTGTCCTTTGGAGGAAATGTTGGAAATAGTTCCAGTTATCGTCCCAATCAAGTTTCAGAGCGTTACAGTTTTCCGAAATGTGCTTTTCCAATTGTTTTCTATTATTTTCGTACTAAGGGTGGTTTTTAACACACTCCGACGGCAGGTAAGGGGTTGTCCTTTTGAGGGAATGTTTGAAATGGTTCTAGTTATCGTCTTAATCAAGTTTCAGAGCGTTACAGTTTTCCGAAATGTGCTTTTCCAATTTTTTTCTATTATTTTCATACTAAGGGTAGTTTTTAACACACTCCGACGGCAGGTAAGGGGTTGTCCTTTGGTGGGAATGTTTGAAATGTTTCTAGTTATCGTCTGAATCAAGTTTCAGAGCGTTACAGTTTTCGGAAATGTGTTTTTCCAATTTTTTTCTATTATTTTCGTACTAAGGGTAGTTTTTAACACACTCCGACGGCAGGTAAGGGGTTGTCCTTTGGAGGAAATGTTTGAAATGGTTCCAGTTATCGTCCCAATCAAGTTTCAGAGCGTTACAGTTTTCCGAAATGTGCTTTTCCAATTTTTTTCTATTATTTCCGTACTAAGGGTGGTTTTTAACACACTCCGACGGCAGGTAAGGGGTTGTCCTTTGAAGGGAATGTTTAAAATGGTTCTAGCTACCATCTCAATCAAGTTTC